GCACATGTGACAATAAAAAGGATATTGATATTGTAAAGTGATTCAGAGGAAGCATTAAGGCTTAGTAAAATATTGATCAAAAGATGTGCAGCAGGAGTGTGGTGCAAAGATGCAGCTGAATGTACTAACTGCACACAGTTTCCTGACCCACTTCGGCCATCAAAATTTTTCAGCATTGAATCTGGAGTGTGGCAGCATACTTCTGCTGCTGGTCTCTAAAGCAATCATTTGCTACTCGTTCTTGCTTTCAGTGTCGGGCTATTTTCTCCTATTGACGGGGAAGAGGATGTCCTACAGGGACTTGAACACCATAGCATTAAATTCAGGGAAGCATCAGTGAAACAAGGCATATACTTAGCACAGTAAAACTCATAACAACACTTAGTTCACTTGGTCCCCCCACCACCCCACCTCCCCCCACCCCGTCTCTGCATTCCAACAACTAGTATCTTTGCAGTTTCACTTAAAATAGTGCAGCTGAATGTTAGTCAAGTGTGTCACCATCAAACTTGCTCATTCTAATTGGGTCAAATCCAGGAGTTAAAGCCAAATGCAATGACCAGGCCTGCATTGTACTTTTGGGCTGCCTGCCTGCTGTTGCACACTGTCCCCTTCCTGGAACATTGTTAAGTTAAATTTTGTTTCTTAGAGTCTGAAGAGCATTTCTACGAATTCTAAATCTCTAAGAAAGGCTCGGGTTACCAAGAACAGGAAACCAAACAGAAAATTGTTGCTTTATTTTTCTATACTAAATACACACCTAGAAGTGTGCTCATGGCAAGCTAAATGCAAGACTTTGATACAAATTGATATGTACAAAGTTTAATTTGATTACGACTATCTTTATTTTATTAAGTCAATTGGGGAGAACTGTTTTGTGTTGAGGTGTACGGAAGTGTTCATTGAAACTAATGCTTACTGTGTGAGTAATCTTTTCTATGTGGGCAGCGAGGAGTTTCATTTTGAAGAGAGAACTTATAGTGGGAAATGGAGTGGAAGGTTGCTCCACTTCTAAGTACAAAGACTCAAACGTTTACAAGATGGATGGAGGACATTCAAAAAATATAGTCTTTTTCAACAGTCTCTATTTTACTTTTACCATTCTCCTTTTAAAAGTTACAATGGTCTCTGTCTCCGCATCTCCTTTGCATGCTTTTAACAATGCTCATACAGTCCTAGGAATCTACAGCTTAGTAAAAAAGCCCTTCAGCCCATCAGGTCTGTGCCAGTCAAAACGAACAAACTATTCTAATCCCATTTTCCAGCACGTGACCAAGACCCTTGTATGCCTTGGCATTGCACATTTAAATACTTCTTAAATGTTTTGAGGGCATCTGCCTCTACCAGCCTTACCAGTTAATGAGTTCCAGATTCCCACCACCCTCTGGGTGAAAAGATTTTCCTCGCATCAACTCTAAACCTCCTGCCTCTTACCTTAAATCTAGGGTGTCTGGTCATTGACTCCTCCATCAAGGGGAAAAGTTTCTTCCTGTCGACTCTATCTACACTGCACAAACAATTTTCCCCTGATCTCATAACAGGGATTTTTAGAAATCCCTCTTAATAACTGCCTGTCCAACTAAAGTAACCTTTTCCTGTTCACCCCATAAAGAGTAACAAAAGTTTAGAAACTCTTTTATGAGATATCCTTCTACTGAGCTCTGCTCCAGTGAAAATAGTTTCAAGATTTCAAGAGCCTAATGGATACAATGAAACAAGATGATCTGATGCAATCTAAGACACAGCACTCTACATAAGCATTTCTTCAGGAGTGTTTTTTTTTGCAATGTCTTATTCTGAAGCAGTTCCACCCATAACTACCTCATCTGTAAGCAAGAGCTTCTGTATGTTACATGAACATATATGAATCAAAAGATATTTCAAAGCTTGAATTTCATAACATAAAATATGTGCTATGAACTCCAAATGAAACACTTTTGCTGCATTTACCCTTCAGTCAGAGATGAAAAACTGCTCCTTCCTTGCCACAAAGATAGTGAAGATGTTGAATCAGCTCCTATCTGAGGTTTAATTTCATAAAAATGTTACGGAAGTGTACAGAGTTCTGATACCATATACTGATTCAGCTTAGAAGGACATTATACAGTTGTGCATGTGTCGTCTCTTTTCAGAGCTGCTCAATTAGTTCTTTTTTCCTGTAGCCCCTGTATTTTTTAAAATCAATTTCAAGTAATAATCCATATTACTTTTGAAATTAATTAAGACCCTCCTTTGACCACCCATTCATTGAATTTAAAAAAATGCACTCATGGTTGTTTTGCTGTTCAGCCTAAATTTGCTTCCTCTGGTTACTAACATTCCTGCCAGTCTAAACAGTGCTGCAGTGTTCACAATGGCCAGACAGTTGTTATTCCAGTGTAGATGAGAGTTGCACATGGGGACCCTGCAGAATCCCCATCATAGCACATTCTGAAAGAACTGCCTGGGAAATTGAATCTTCCACTGGGCAATTCCTGTACCCCTGGAATCCTCTGTAAGTCTCCATTCAAATCAGAGGTTTCTGATGAAGTTAAGTAAAATAGTTTCTCATGGGAAGTTAAGACTGTTAAACTGACTCCATACTTACGAAACACACATGGAACAACACCTTCCCTGGACCCCTTCCAGGTCCCAGACCCTGACTTGACATCCCCCCCAGGATCTGACAACTAGGATCTACAAGCCCTAGACAGCTGATACCTCCACCTCAATCCACATTCAAAACCCCTCTCCACTGGATCTGACCCCCAAACCAGACCCCCACCACTGCTGCCACTTGACCCAATATTCCCCTTACCCACCAACCACCCATTCCCCAGCCCAATCCAACAAGCTCCCTCCCTTTGCTGAACCTAATCCAGCCCTTCACTTTTGGACCCAAACAGCACCAGGCACGTCATTCACCATCCCCAACATCCGGCCAGACTCAACATACCCACCATCACAACCAACCCTAAATACTGTATTACTCACCTGGCCCCTTGCCATCTGACACCCTATCCAGTAGTCCCCTACTTACCTGGCATTTTACCCTTTAATCATTGGGCACCCTACCTTCCCAGCACCCTAAAACTATACTTATCTTAGAACACTTGCTCTTTGACAGGAGCACACAAAGTGGCTGTCAAGGCCTTTACATTTCAGACAAAAAGACTGTGGTTAGCCTTCCTCAGACAGTTCTATACTAGGGAAGAGCTGTCAGAATGGATCTATATTTCTTAGGGAGATCTGAGCAGAATCTCCTCGTAGGGGAGGCAATGGCCTACTGGTACTATTGCTGGACTGTTAATTCAAAGGCCCAGGTAATGTTCTGGGGACCTGGGTTCGAATCCTGCCATGGCAGCTGGTAGAATTTGAATTCAGAAATATCTGGAATTAAGAGTTTAATGATGAATCCATTGCCTGTTGTTGGAAAAACCCATCTGGTTCACTAATATCCTTTAGGGTAGGAAACTGCTGGCCTACATGTGACTCTAGACTCACAGCAAAGAGGTTGACTCATAACTGTCCTCTGGACAGTTAGGGTTGGGCAATAAATGCTGGCTTAGCCAGCGACGCCCTCAACCCGTGAATGAAAAAAAAGTGCAGAGCTACCTTCTGTCATCAGAAAAAAAGAAGGGGTGCAGTGACAATCTGGGTGAGATTACCACCTGGAAAATCTGGCCCAGTTTCTTTTTATCAGAACCATTCATGGCTTCGAATGCTGCTGTTCAGGAATGATGGTGATGAAGTGGCAACGTTAACAACGTTAACAGGGGACATAGGTTCTGATGCGATTTAATTTCAATTAAAATGATCTGGAATTGAAAGCCAGACTCAGGGATCATGACTATGATGCTGATTCTTGTGAAAACCCATTTGGTCCTTCAATGGAGGAAATCTACCAGAACTATTTGGTCTGGCCTGTATGTGACAACAGACCCACAGCAATGTGGTTGACTCTTAACTGCTCTATAAAATGGCTGAGCAAGCTGTGTAGGGAAAATTGAGATAGGGAAACAGGATGCCGACTCCCCATCAATTATCTATATTTTAAAAAAACACCTCTAGCAAATGGTTATTTAAACTCCCCGGCTCTAAGGAAAAGACAATCCCAGCTTCTTCAATCTATCCACATAACTGAAATCTGTCATTCCTTGTCCCCCGCCAACCTTGTCTATCTCTTCAGAGTGTATCCCATTTTCTAAGGGGAGAGAAGACAAGTATTTGGTGCAGAGGAAGACACAAAAATACAAACGAAATTTGAATTTATCGATGTATCCTAGTGGTGAAAGGTCCCTATGTACAGAATCTGGCGAATTACTCTGGCCACAAAATGCAGTACAATCTGTCGCTCTGCTTATAAAAGGTTCTTCAAACGAGCTCAAGAGTTGAAAAAAGAAAAACTGTAAGAAATTGGAATTGCCAAATATTGCGTAATGGAGAACAGCTCAACACTCAACTGTTTCCATTCTTGGCGATGATGGAGAGAACTGAAATTTTCACCCATCCTGGAGTTCCCACTGAAAGCCCCTCAGGTTGTGAGATACAACATGGAAGCTGCCATCCCTCTCCTCAAATATTCCTTTAGGTATGATTAAACTTTAACAGTAAGACAATGAAAACGCGGCGTTTGATCTTCACGTGGCTCTCCCCCCGACACAAGGAACACGTTAGGGTTTCTCAACTTCGTGCCTCTATATGTTGCAAAATGTGGGTTCTTATATATTTATTGCATTAGTAGTTAAGTAAATTAATTGAAAAAAATACATGAAAATAAAAATCTGTTTGTTTTTTTTTAAGAAAAAAATCCAATTTTGGAGCTGCCCACATCTTTTCCAAAATACTGCAATTCCCTCTTCCAAAACCGACCTCTCCATTCTCTGACACAATTACCCTCTAATCCTCGAGTTTTATGAAGAGAATTGTTAAATCAGATATGTAACAAAAGCATCATTTAAACATCATAGCCCGAAAGCGCGCTCAGAGCGTCAAATATAAGTTTGAAAGTCCTCTTTTACCTTGTAATTTTGAAATTCCCTTCCACACTTGCTTCAAGTCACTTTTGTTGCTGATGGATAAGACTGGTTTGTAAAATGTTTGCTTGTGTGGATCTGGTTCAATTAAACTCGACTGGTAGATTTGTCTTAGAGGGTTAATATTGGCGGGAGGATTTGGCTTAGTGACGCAGTACCGTGAAGTAGAACCACGACAGCAGTTCTTCCTATAAATAGCGGGACTTTTACCCTTTCTTCCAGCGCCTCAGCAAATCTCGCGACACCATCTGTCATTACATTATGAACAAAATAGAAGCTCATAGTTCATAACACAGTGACACAAAAACATCTGGATTGTAAGCCATGTCCCTGCAGCTTTCCAGGGAAATAAATCATTCAGCAGACAAAAAGAAGGTAGTCAGCATCTCTGGGTGCCAAGGTAAGGCTGTGGACAGATGGTGGTAGATGGGTCCATCCTTGGCTCAGATTTCCAACATCTGCAGTATTCGTTTCCCTTTTGCTTTTGGAGGAGATCCAGAGGGGTTGATTTGCTCCAGGATACTTTTCACCGAGTCATCACCATCATTGGCGGTCCCTTGCAGACAAGGATGACTCTCTTCCACTCTCAGGACGCAGACGAGGATGACTGTGTCCCACTCTCCGGGTGTAGGTGGCTCTACAAACCAATGCCACTACTGCAGGCTTTGTTACGCTTGGGTAAAATGTGGTTGCCGAAGGGGTGGGTGGGGCATTGTTGTGGCGGTGCACTCCCTTCGCTGTTTTCGCCAGGCTTTCGCTTTCTCCCAATGGCAAGTCTCGAGGTGCTCGACGCCTTCCCACATGCTCCTCCTCCACTTTGGATGGTCTTGGGCCAGTGATTCCCAGATGTCCTTGGGAATGCCAGACTTCGCCAGATTACCCTAACCTTAACCGTAACCCTAACCCTAACCAGCTGGGGCTCCCCTGCCATTTCAAAGCTGGGAGTACAGCACCCATGTGGGAAGTCTTGTGTCAGTCATGTGGATGACATCTCAGCCCATCCTAGCTGTCAAGGATGGTCGATTTGCAGGATCTTGCACAGGCGGCATTGGTGGTATTGCTCCTGTGCCGTGAGGTGTCTGCTGTACACAGTCCACGTCTCAGAGCCATAAAGGAGGGTGGGAACCACCACAGCTCTGTATTGCATGAGCTTGGTGTTGGATCTAATGTTGTTGTTCTCTAACACCCTTTTCCTCAGGCTGCCAAAGGCTATGCTAGCACACTGAAGGTGGTGCTGGAACTCTTCATAAATACCTGCTTTGGTCGACAGGACACTCCTGAGGTATTTGAAGTGGTCAGCCTTCTCTAAGGCTTTCCCGTGGACCTCGATGATCAGGGGTTCACTCCACAATGCCGGGCCAGGTTAGTAAAGGACCTTTGTCTTGCAGATGTTCAGGGTGAGACCCCTGCTGTCATATGCATCTGTAAAGATGCTGATGATGGTCTGGAGTACGTCCCCTGAAATTGCACATACACACAAGCGACATCTGCGTACTGCAGCTCGATGACACTGGTTAGGATGACTTTGGTTTCGGCGGAGGTTCAATAATTTCCTGCTGGTTCTGTAGGTTAGCTCCACTCCAGCAGGGAGCATGCTAGCGGTGAGGTGAACCATTGCAGCGAGGTCGATCGAGAACAGTGTTGGGGCAATGACGCAGCCCTGCTTGACACCGGTCCGAATGAGAAATGTGTCAGTGATGGAGCAATTTGTCATTACCACGACTTCCATGTTGTCAGGGAGCAGGTGAACAATGGTGACAAACCATGTATTCATAGTGCGGCTTCACGGAGACATAGAAAATTGGAGCAGGAACAAGCCATTTGGCCCTTTGAGCCTGCTCTTGCCTTTCAATATGATCATGGTTGATCGTCCAACCCAGTACCCTGTTCTCGCTTTCCCTCCATATCCTTTGTTCCCTTTAGCTGTAGTCAACTCCTTCCTGAAATCACACAATACATCACCATGTACACATTGTGCAATTTTTCCATAAGACAACTGCTATGTAAATGGATTCAGGGATAGTAGGAACTGCCGATGCTGGAGAATCTGAGAT